CTCAGATTGCTCCCCCAGCATACACAGGCACAGATAAAATATCAAGCCACAACATCAGACTGCCCTATCCTTTTCTCCTTTCCCCTTCCAAAGGAAAAACTTATTTTTGGTAAAACATTCACACTGTTTACTGAATACATGTGGTAAACAGTGATTTCTTCTCCAGCTGAGCCAGCAAATTCTCTGCAGCACCTGAAACCTCCTTACCCAGAGGGCTGGATAGAACTGCTGGGGGGGGATGCAAGAAATTCAAGCATATTTTCCTCATCCCAAGAAGTTCTCCTCCAATGTTTTGAGAACTGGACACCACTGTCTCAACCCCATAATATTTTCTAGGCTACATGCTAGTGATGGGATCAATGGGAAAAGCTTTACCTCGCTGCTCTGAACCTGCAAGGTGCACTTAAAAAACACAAAAGGTTTGCAAACACTAACGAGCAGGAATGAGTATGGATAGGATTTCTAGGCACCAAAGCTCCCTGTACAAGTATCTCTCTGGCTGATGCTGTATTTGTTTTGCCCAGGAGGGATGCAGGGACAGTTTGACCTTTCTGCAAATGTTGTTAAAACAACAAACAGAGCCGGGGTAGGTGGGTGAAGCCAATTTCCAAGAGGATGGTTAACCCATTCTCTGCCTCCCAGAGAGGAAAACTGCCCTGTGCACAGATGTGTGACATAGTTACCTCTCACCTCTTGATCTACCTGCCAAGAGTGAGTATAAAAGTAAAAATTCACTCCTCACGCTCAGGAGGTGTTGGCTATGCTGTGCAAAACACTTTTCCTGAAATACCAGTGTAACCCATGCACTGGAAAAGGGTGAAGTCCATGCCCTGAGTAGAGACACCACTTGGCTGTCAGACCATTAAGGGGAGCACAGCTGGTCACGAATCCAAATACCACCACTCCCCATCCCCAGAAAAAACAAAGGATGGGTCTGAATGTACAAGAATTCCAGGATCTAGTAGAGATATCAGAAATACCCTCTCCTTTTCTCATTCAGAGGGGACAATCACAACTAAATACTAAAAGCCTCGGACTTCTACGAGACAGAAAATTAGAGAATGTTTTGAGCAGCCACAAGCCTTGAGCTTCTCCTCCACACAGCAGGATAACACTGGCACATTAAGGGCACCTGTTCCTGGCACACCAGGCACAGCTTAGTGCAACCAAAGCAAACAACAGCATTTGAAGCAAAGTTGGAAGCAGGTGCCATTTGAGAGGTGCTTTTGTTCAGCGTGTACAACTGTTCTAGGAAAAGTAGAATTACTGCGGGGTTGGGGGGATATTCCTGTCTTTGACAAAAGCTGTCACTGAGTCAGAAGCCCACAGCAGGAACAATGACATGGGATTACAAAAAAGGGTGGAGGAGAATAGTGGAATAGCTATGTTTATGAGAGATAGTGGGAAATTTCCTGCCAAATGCTTTTAAAGAAAAATTTCTAGTTGTCTTCAGAAAGAATGCAGCGAAAAAAACTTAGTTTTTAATCAGACCAGGTCAAGACATCAATTTCTTAAAAAAAAAAAAAAATTAAAAAAAATCACAACTTGACACATTCTAATACTCGGCTATTACTCCAAATCATCAGCTTCCCAAATTACTAAGAATCAGTTAAGCATCTTGCAGAACTACATCAGAACTGAGAGCAAGTTTCTTCAATTCGACATTTGCAAAGACCTCGAGTGATCCAAACTGAAGCGTTAATTAAGCACCCCCAGCTCTTGAAAACCAATCAATAAATTTTCCTTCCTCTGTCACAAGAATAACAACTGGTTTTTACAGTGATATACAATGCCAGTGCAGTCAGTGAGCTCCACTCTGCTGCTTTAAAGGAAAAGCAGGAAGTCGGAACAGTAAATTCCTAGGGAGAAACTCTGCTGAGACACAGCAACTCACAAATCCGTCCAGACTTCCTGCTAAAATAACTCTTTGCCCAAATGAGAGACGTTCTTCCCTCCCCTCCACCCCTTTTGGTCTCTCTGCAGGTGTCCCCAAATACCTGGAGCAGCAGGCCAGTGTTGCTCCCCTTCCCTGGAAGCAGCAGTATATTCCACAGCAAAAAGCTAGCGGGGGAGGAACACTGCCACTGTAAATAGAGGATCAGAGCCCGTCCAAGCCAGGAGGTGTGGTCTGCACTGCTCCCTACGCATCCCAGCCCCTTTCCAACACAGCTGAGTAGTCCTCAGTTCAGAAGGCAGCACAAGAAAACCTGCCCTTGAGCTGCCAAGGTAAATTCCTTGTAATCCCGCCTTGTGCACAGCTTCGAGGGAGAAGGGCTTGTTTCTGAGCTGCCTTAGGCAAGAGGGGAAAAAGGGGTAAGAAAGCAGATGATCCCACATCTCACATTGAACTTACCTTCCCTGAGAAACTCTAGTTGTGCTTGTACTTAGTTTGCTGCCTTGCCCCCAAGCAATTTCCACCAGGCAAGGGCTGGAAACTACTCCTGTGTATCTTGCCTCAAGTTTAACTCCAGTTTTACGAGATTGGCAACCTGTTTCACAAAGAGAAGCACACAGAACTCAGGAAAAGAGAGAAGTAAAGCATAAGATGACAGGGCAAGGAGCCTGCTTGCAAAGCATCATAAAACACACACCAGGGGTGGGGTGCACACCCCAGGACTGTCTCACTACAGCAGTCAGAAATGCCACTCTCTATCCTGCCACTGACCAGAGCACCACTCTATCCCACAGCATCCCCAAAAGGAAGCAAAGCCATCCCTGCCTGCTGACAGCTGGAGATGCTGATGGGGATTTGTCACTCAGCAGCAGCTCCAGAGTCGCCAGGCAGCACAAAAGATGCTCTCAGCTGTGTCATGTCCTACTAGCTAAGCCTGAGGTCTTCTCAGCAAAGGTAACAAAGGGAAGAAAAAAATAGTGAGTGTTGAGACCTTGGCAGGCTGGCTCTTCATCACCTAGTAAGGTTTTGTGGCCTTTTCTCACTCCTACCCCAAATGCTTCTTCTGCCCAGAAAACAAGCTTTGCCATACAACTCATAAGCAGGCAAGCCTCCCCTCTACAGAGAGGAAAATCCCTTCTTTCACCAAATTTCCACTGAGAAGACTCCAGCTGATGTCTGAACAACAGAGACATCACCAGTCTGCAAAGAGAAGAGCTCCAAACAGCTCCATTCTCCCAGCAACAAGAAAATTAGACCTGCAGAAGACAAAGATGGGTCCTTCTCTATTAAGATGGTTACTTCAAAACCCAGACTAAAAAATGGACATGAAACCTACTACAGACATTCACAATTGTCTTAACTAGAGATTTAACAGGGCCAGAGAGCTCCCCTGAGCCACAGAGAGGTCTCTGTACTCTCAGAGGGCATGATCACCTTTTCATTCCTCACAGGCTCAGCTTTGCCTCAATTGCAGGATTCCAAATCCCCTGGGGCAGGCTCTAACAGTGCAGCTGTGGCAAAAAACCCAATAAAACCAAACAAATCCATACCACGTGAGGTGTCTGCCTCCAAGCAGGAGTGTTTACTCACCATTTTGTTCACCATTGCTGCAGAAGTCTTGCTTGACACTGACCCATGGTCTTGGTTGGGATGTTGCTAGAACAGCACAAAAAAAGGGAGCAAACTGCTTTCCTGCACCTTGCACCCTGTCCTGTCTCTAATCTCCTCCTGGGGTTCTTTATAAAGGTTCTCTTAGTACTGACCACAACAAAAAAGTTTATAAAACACACACAAAAAACACCCAAAACCCCACACTTCGGAGGCACATTAATCAATCCTTAGTGTTACATGGATAAAGGTCAGGAAATACAAAAAAGTTATGGTTCCCATAGTAATGCTAATTCAACCATACTGCACATCCTGTGTATTTAGTGGTAGACATTGAAAAGAAAAAGGCTTCATCTACCAATGCTTAAAAGGTTTTTGATTTAGTAAAGACACTTGAATAACATCCCCCACACGCAACATTTATTGTTCAGAGCAGTGGATTTTCAGATCGAATTGGATTAAGCCAATCCAAGCATCACTCCAGCTCCCCATATCCAGGGCAATAGCAAGAGCTCTCAAGCATGATTACAGACTGAACATTATTTGCCCAACTTGAATAGAGGAAAGAGATCAAGGCGTCAGAGTGGCTTGAGTCACCAAACTGCAGATCTGCACTGGGATGCAGCAGAGCCTTGGTAAGGAGAGAGGGGAGGCAGTAACCAACCCAGCTCCCCACACCCATAACCAGCAGGTGTTAATCCATTCCTATAAACACTCATTTATTCAATGCCAACAGCTTGAAATATCCTGCCTGGTGTCCCCACCTGGCAAGTGTGGGAACAGGTGAACTGCAGTCACGCTGCCCTTTCTCCAGCACAAATCCTTGTACTGCTCTGCTCTCCCAGCTCCTGAGGGCTCATCTCCGAGCTTTGCATAAAGCCCACACCACTCTTGGAGAGGGAACAGCTACAAGTGCTCCATTTGCATTTAGCGGCTTGAGCAGCCCGATTTGCATAGGAAGCGAAAGGCTCTCTGTGCCATAGGAAATCCATTAAATCAAAGACGTTTGAGCCCCTCTACTGGAGCAGAGGATTATCCCTCTGGCTACATGTCCGGGAGAAAGGAAAGGTGGATCAGGCACCTTGCAAACTCCTTAAAGAGGCAAAAAGGATATGGAAGGAGGAAGGCAGCTCTCAAGCACAGGAGAAAAGAGTGCAACAGAAGAAACATTTGTGTGGGCACCCACATGTCCTTTCTCCCTCCAATAAATCTGATTTTTTTCCTAGTTCCCATGATCTCAGACAGTAGGACACAGATCAGGACAACAGATACCTCAGAACTTCAAAAAAGAGAGACACTGCTGCTGAAGAGGTTTCTCAGCCCTGCCAGACACCAGGTCACCCTCACAGCCCTGCTCGGAGGGCACCAAACTGAGGGAACTGCCAGGGAGCAACATCCACACCCGAGTCTGCACAGGACACAGGCACAGGGACACACACACGGCAGATGTCCTGGGTGGCTGCTCCTTCACTCACACCCCTCAGACCCTGGCACTCACCTTCCCTGTTGGGCTCCAGCATCAAGTCTCCATGTTTTAAAGAGACTCTGCCACCCTCCCTGCAGCTGAAGAGCCTGGCTATTCCTCTGAGCTGCACAAATTCCAGTCAGCATCTAGCCACACCTGCCAAGGGTAACAAGGTTTTGGTCATGCTTTATCTTATCTAAGCAATGATGACGCTTGTCTCTCTTCTTGGGCAAAGCTCAGTAGCTCGGCACCTGCCGAGGTTGGGAGCTGGGCAGGGGCCAGGAGCTTCAGCCTGCAGCAATTCACTCCAGAGCAGCACGGCTCTGCTGGCCGGCCTGTCCCACCCCACAAAAAATGGGCATTTAGTCCACAAACTAGGGCTGTGAGGAAAATAAGGCTCAGCAATATGCACACTTCTCATCCCACCTTCAGCTCAGGTACTGGCACACGCACACAGCTCACCTTCCCAAGACACAATACAGCCCCATTAGTCCTTGCCAGGAGATAAAGCAGTACTTTACAGGGAGGTTGAAGTCTTTTCTGAAGATAAGACTTCAATATCTGTCATGTTGTCACCTATAGGTCACCTACCACTTCAATTCCCAGCTGGAGATGAGCTTGGTTTCCTCCTCATAATTTTCCAGAAAGAAGAAGAGGGGAAAGTGAGGCAGATAAAAGCATTACTCTTGCAAACATTATGCTGAACGAAACGTAGAGGAATTCAGCTACTGTAAGAGCAAAGGCCACCAAGTTCCTGTAGGATGTGTTAGATCTGCCTCCCTACAATTGCACCTTTGCCCAGCTCCCACCATGCTCACCCAAGGGTTTACAGCTAGCCTGCAAGTTTGCTGTCTCCTTTTCCAGAGGCTTGACTCACCTAGCTATATCCAAACATAGCTGAAATTTTCCCAAAAGGTTTGCTTTCCATAGCCTAAATGACATATTTAGACATTCCACAATTTTATTTTTGCCACCACACAGCTACTCTTCCAAAAGTCTGCAGATATCCTGCCTGTTATTAATTGGAGGAGCTTGAAGTATGAAACAATAAACAGGTAGATACGTTACCTTTTATTGCACAGTTACAATAATTAGGCTTTTTTCAAGCCTTCGCTGTACTGCTTTACTTTCATCCAGCACATATGCTAAAGGCTAATTCTTTCAAAAAGCTGTAGGATAGGTCTTCAGAGCTTTCCCCTTGTTCTCATCCCTCCAGAAACACAGGTTGCCTCAGCCATGCTACCTCCATCACCTGCTGTGAGCAGAGACACGTTTACATGTGCCAGGATCTTACCAACAACACAAGCTCAAGCCAGCCTCAAGCCCACACAGTGCTGGAGCACCACAGCAAATCTCAGCAGGTTCACAGCTCTCAGGCACATTTTCACAGAGCTCTCCTGCCATCCCCAGAAAACAGCACAAGCCTCTCCTGCAGGGCTTTCAGGAATGTGTAATCCTCAGGCATCCTTCTGAACCAGGCAGTCCCTTCCACACAGACGGGGCAGTATCTGGTGACACAGCCTCGTACCAGCAGAGACTGAAGGTGCTGAAGCAGAGGCAAGAGCTCCTCCTTCAGATGACATCTCTGCTAAATTAACTGCAATCACACACCTCACTGGATAGAAAGCAGGCATGTTTCAAGCCTCCTTGCTCTCACTCTTTTCACTTGACAGATTTTCTTCCAGTTATGCCAAGCAGATAAGAACACTGTACCCTTCCAAAGCGGTGCACCACATCTCATTTCTTCCAAAACAAACCCATGATTAGATTAAAGCCACGGTCTCTGAGAGCACAAGACAGTATTTGTTGCTGCTTTAGTGCTCTGTCACACAAGGTTAAGAGAAAAACATTTGGTTAAAAAGTCCACAGGGCTTCCCAGCCATGTTACTTCAACCTGAACTAAGCATAGGAAAGCACAGTATGGCCCCAGCCTTCATTTGAAAGTCCACAGTACCACAACCCACCGCTACTTTGGGTGTTGTTTTCTCCCAAAGCTCACAATATTTGTTATTCCACTTGAGGCACCTAGGTCCTGCAGTCACATGAAATACTGAGATTCAAGCACTCCTGGCAGCTTATACAGACATGCAGAAATCTCCAAGAAAAACCAAAAATTAGCAGGATAAAGCAAATTAAGAACATGATTTAAAAGGAAAATAGTAATGTCATTTCATGTTTTGTTTTTTTTAATATGTGGCTGGTGGTATTTAAAAGCTTAGGGTTGACAAACCTTTTGATCACATGGCCAGAGAGGAGCACATGGGGCTCCTTCCACAGCAGAAGTCTATGGGAATACTTAGTAGATCCACCCCAGTGCTCCTTGCTCAGCTGCAGAGGTCAGGTTTGCTCAGCAAAATGTGCATTAGGGCCGAGGGGAGGAAAATTCGTGTCAGCATCAGCCAAGAAATTAAAGTCTTGGGGTGCAGGATGAGGAGAACATTGCTAGGAAAATATTAAGAGGGTCAATGAGGACATCCACAGCACCTCCCTTTCAAGCTGCTGGGCTTTGGGTAAATCCAAGGATTTTGTGACAAAGGACAGAAGCTCTTACTAATTGTTGCAATTCTGCTGTTCCGGTAGGACAACAAATGAATCATGAGAGATTCAGACATACAGAGTAAACCAAGTATTTCCTCCTCAGACTTCACATGGACAGCAAGCCAAGGCATCAGGCAGGAAGGAGGGAGATGCTGCTCCACTCAGTGGAAGATGACACATTGGCTACAGCTGAAGTTTCTCGTCACTGTCCCTAAATACAAGACGAGCTCCTGCAAGCAGGGGAGGAGAGGAGGGAGGGAGGGTTCAATCCCTAGGGCAGCCTTATGAAACCAAAAAGATTTAGACATGAGTAGCTGCATTATGGAAAACAAACCTAGTTTGCTGTACCTAGGGATCGATTTCCCTAAAGCTCTCTGACCATGAAGAGCATTGTGCATGGAGCTGAGCCCATGTGATTTCTGTTGCTGTCAATTGTCCTCATCCCATTAGTTCATTTTCTGAGGCTGCCTGGCAAAGTCACGAGGAGCAGCAGTTCCCCAGCACTGTCTGTGTGCTGCTAAAAACAGCCCCACATAGAGCCCTCTTTTGCAGCACTACCTTCAGGTCAGTAGACAGGAGGCTCTCGATTCATTAAATGCATCAAATTGGGGTGTGAGGGAGAAATTTTCCTATCTGATAGTGTCAAAACAACCAAGCAGACCTTCCCAGTTGGATAGTTCATACTCCCCACTGTAGCTTGCCACAAGAAGCTAAGAGAAGAGTGATGCTCCAGGGAATGACAACATTTTTTTGCCCAGCAAGGTAGCTTCAAAGACATTTTATACCATTTTATGAAGGATTCTAAAATTTTATGTCTCAGGCTTCACATTACTCTCTGTGGAGCAGGGTGTCCTGGTAAAGAGAGGATTCTTCCACCCCAGCTCACTGTAGCTTTTCAGAACCTCCTCTGGACCACCTGAACCAGTCAGTAAAAGGACAGACCAAACTGATTATCTGTTTGATCAAGAAAAGCAATTTCCATAGCCCTCAGAAGATGTGTGTATATATATATAATATTCATCTACATATAGCTAGTTAGATGATCCTCAGAAATAAATGTAGCTCTAGAACATGAAAAATAAGATACAACTGAGCCTGCGTAAGTTAAAGCTAGAAATTAAGGTTTTCTGAGCCCCCTCTGATGCAGAATAACCATCAGAATAAGCAAAGCTAAACAGGTCATGACTAAACAAGCAAGCTGTGTTCGGACTGTCCTGCCTCCTCAGGATATTCCTAGCACAGCCATCTCCCTGTGTCTGAGGCTAACCTCTTTTCCCCTCAGCTGTTTTCAGGAAGCCCTACAGGAAGGACTCAGGTTCAACACGCAAGTTCACCCAAGTGCATCCCGCGAGTGCAAGATATTAAAGAGAAAGACGCCGCAGTCTGAGGAGAGGGAAAGCGCTGGTATTTTTTCCTTCCAGAGAAGGAGAAGCAGCACCAACACAGCTGCTGTAGGAACCTGCAGCACCTTTATATAGTGTAGTGTCATCTGCACCTGGACGGCAAGAAAGAATATTCCCTGAACAAAAGACGCTGGAAAAAGGAAAAGAGAAAATAATAAGGTCTCCACTCAGGTTCAACAAGAAACACCGAAGCTCTGTGGCCTCATATCAAAGGAGCCTCACAGCGGCAGAGGAAAGCCGAAAGAGGCAGCGGCTCCCGTGCCTTTCCCCAGGGGAGCAGCGCTCCCCATCGCGCAGCCCCGCCTCAGGAGCGCTGTGTGCGGGACAAGGCGGCGTGGCTCCGGACCCGCCCGGCACCAGCGAGGGACCCCGACAGCCGAAGACAGGGCAGGTGCGTGGCCGTGGCAAGGCGAGGAGCCCGCAGCCCTCCGTAGCCCTCCGTAGCCCTGTACCCACAGCCGGGCCAGGCGAGGGTGAAGGCGCCGGCGGGGCCCTCGCTGGGGCAGCCGCTCCCCAACACCTCGGCTGCGGGTCCTGGCCGGGCAGAGCCGGCAGCTGCTCCGGGGAGAGGACCGGTCCCGCAGCACCGCCCCTCACCGCGCTGCCGCCCCGAGCTCCCCTCACGGCGCTTACCTGGCCCGGCCCGGCCCGGAGGGAGCCGCGGCACCTGCGGCCGCCCTGGCGGGAGCGGAGCCGCCGCTGGCGCCGGGACGGCCCCGGCCGGAAATGAGCGGGGCCGCGGCCGGGCCGGGCCCGCCGGGCAGGCGGCAGCGAGAGCCGGGCCAGACCGGGCCGCTCCTGCTCCCCGGGATAAGAGGCAATGCCCCCGGCCCGAGCGCCGGCACCGCCGAGGGACAGGAAAGCCGCGCAGCCAGCCCCGATCGCGGCCACTCCCCCGGCGGAGCCGCCCGCAGCGCTTAACGGGAGAAGGATCTCTTGCACCGATTAACAGCACCGGGCCCGGGTTTTTGTTATTTTGCAGTCATTAGAGGTTAAGAAAGCTGTTTGCTTTACCAGCTGCATCCTATAATGCTAATTACAGCACTTGTCCCCATCATGTGACAACACATAACAAAGTCTCTTCCTAAAGTTTCCGGCTGTCAAAAGCCTGGACAAAGAGGAGCCCGAGCTCTGTAGCGTCCACCAGACCGGCGCAGCGCCAAGCCCGGTCTGTGCGAGGCTCTCGTCCCTGCTCCGGGCCATCCCAGCTGCGCAGCCCGGCCATGCCCAGAACCCTGGGCTTGCACCAAGGAAAGCCCTGGCATTCCCACAAGCCACGGGCCGGTGGTTTCCGTGCACTCCAGCTGCAGAGTAACCGGGCAGACACACAACAACCAGTGCCATCTATTGCACCAGCAAGGAAACAGACTCTCTAGAAAGA